AAAAAAAAAGTGGAGGAGGGGGAGAGGCTGTACCAGATCATCTCTGAGGTCCCTTCTCCCTCCTTTACTCATTTACAAAAGACCACAGAAGATAAAAACCAGTATCTAGTGGGGAGCAGGAAGAGCCTTGAGTACAATAACTTCCAAATTTGTTGCAGCTTTTTCTGAGCTCCACAAAATGGGGGTACACTGATTGCACGAGCTTGGGATGTGTTCACTTGAGGCTAAACAGATGTATTTACTGCTGGATTTTACCTCTATTTTTTTTAATATAGTGCTTGATATTTTTTTCTTGTTTTTATTGTAAAAGTAATAAAGGGTCTATAAAACAATTCAAATAATACCTAAATCTATAAAGTACAAATACAAGTCTCCCTCATCCTCTCACTTCTGTTCCCCAGAGTCTGTCTCTCTCAATAATCTGGTATACATCCTTTTGGAATTTTTATATATTTTATTGTATTATATATAAAACACATACACACACATATGATTTGGTTTTTTAATGGGATATTACTCATGTTTAGAAATTTGACGTGGTTTCTACTCAACAACATGTCTAGGAGACATTTCATTATAGTATGTAGAGATCCGTATCACCATTTTTAATGGCTGATTACTGTTCCCGAGTGCATTGAACTATCCCCCAATTGAAAATTATTTTGGTTTTTCCATTTTTTTAACTCCTTTAAGCATTCCAGCATGTGCTGTGACTTTCCAAGTGAACAATAGAGTATGCATGATTTTCCACATAGTTCTTTGATCAATGAACAATTTTCTGCCCAGCCATCTCAAGGATACCAAGAGCTCTTGAAATACCACCTAGGAAACATTAGTGTCACCTTTAAATTTTCACCTCCTCGGGTGTGCACCTGGGTGGCTCAGTCGGTTAAGTGTCCAACTTCGGCTCAGGTCATGATCTCACAGTTCATGGATTCGAGCCCCACGTCGGGCTCTGTGCTGACAGCTTGGAGCCTGGAGCCTGGAGCCCACTCCAGATTCTGTGTCTCCCTCTCTCTCTGCCCCTCTCCTGTTCATGTTCTTTGTCTCTCTCTCTAAAATAAAATAAACATTAAAAAAATTTAATTTTCACCTCCTTGGGTATTGAGAATCGACCCTAATGTCTTTATGATGAAGAGCGTGCAGTGGAATCTTGCTAGAAAAAGACACATGGAAGCCAGGTGCTGAAGATGCACTAAAGGTGCTAGACGAAGACAGCAGAGGGCCAGTCCTGGCTCTTCAAAGTCACCAGGACATTGGTGGGAGTGTGGATGAGGAGTAGCATTAAGAGGGATCATACATGAGGGGTACAGACAAAAAGTTTTACAGTTTGGGCCACTCTCAAGATTTTTCTAGATCTAGCCTTAACAGAGCTTTCTGATGCAAGTTAATGGCACACCGTAAGGAAAATTAGAGATTTCAGATTCTGATCTCTGACGTCATAATTTCTCCATTTAACTTAGCTGGCCAGTAAGAAATATGGCTGGAGCTTCATTTTCTGTACAGTTTTCCAAGTCCTGTTTGAGAAAAGAAAGTGAACATATCTGCACAGAGCACACAGGCACAGAGCCGCCATTGGGACTGCTTTGCTATGGGCTGTTGGTGACCTCTCTGTGCTGGGTTTCATTGCTTGTCATCATTCCTATGTCCGGTAGCAGTTCAGAAATGCTCATTTATTTTCCAACAGAGACGTGCTGAAATGCCCACTGTTATAGTTCCGTTAGTCTGTTTTTGCTTAGTACCAAATCCATCTTTCTGAAAGAATCTGCAAGATTCAGCTGGCTATTGGTCTGTATGACTTTGCAGTGTATTAAACTATACTCTCAGTAGCCTGAGCCAGCAAGATAGGTCAAGAGAGGAGGAAAGTAACTGAAGACAAGTCTACCACATCTTTGGCTTTTAAATATGCCAAAGTTTTATCTGAAAGAAATTCATTATATGAAATAATCACTATCAATTTGGTACTACTGTATCTCATCATACATATAATTTACTAGTTGAAATGAATTTACGTGATTCTTAGAAGCACATGCCAGCTTCTCAAGCAATAGTTTTATGGGATGTCTCTGAATGTATTAGGACAGACTGGTTCACCATAATCCCTTC